CTGGCAGCAGCAGCAGCAGCAGGTGCAGATTGGCTTGCGTCTGCAGGAGATTGAGCGGTCTGCAGTGGAGGAGGTTCATCTGCACCTTGATGACCTCCCTGCGGAGATAACTACTACAACGGGAGCTAGACTACGGGCTAGGCACGGGTGCTCGTGTGATCTCTGCGTTCTTTGGTCCTTAGTTGTTTTCCTAGTGCACACACTGCTTGCTAGTTCACGGGGCAAGTTGGCAAGAGTTTCACTAGAGAAAGTTGACAACAATGGTACAATGAAGTTGGCATGGCAAGACTACATCAGAGCTAGCATTCAGGTCGGTCGACTGCCAGCGCAGCATGGTCGACCGCGTTCCAGCACGACTTGGTCGACCGCGCTCCAGCAGTGCAAAGTCGACGGCGTGCCAACGCAGCAGGTCGACGGCGTGCCAGCGTTGCTCCCGCAGTACAGCATCGCACCAGCTTCGCAGGTGCTCGCAGATGATTGGCGTGCTGGGCCTCGTCACCTGCACAGCGCACACACCAAGTCAACCTGGCGCTGACGACTGCATCTGATCAGCCACGTCGACCTCGGGATACCACCACCAAGGTCGGACTCGCCAACTTCGCCTGAGCGACCGTCGCACTCCTCCGCAGAACCTCGTCACCCAGGTAACCTGGTCGACCGGGCAACCACGTCGACCAGCTGCTCCTGTATGTGCCCGTCGACCTCCCAAGTCGACGACCACCCCAAGTCGACCTCACCAGGTCGACCACCAGGTCGACATCACGCCTGGTCGACCACCACCAAGTCGACCAGCAGACCTGGTCGACCAACCACCAGGTCGACCAGCAGTCTTGTCAGCCGGCCACCCAAGTCGGCTGCCCCAAGTTGACGTCACCAAGTTGACGTCCTCCGCAGGTCGACTTCCCAGGTCGACCTCCCTGAAGTCGGCGCCACCCTGAAGTCGGCGCCCGTGCAGTGGCCCCCGTGCAGGTCGACCTCCTCGTCAACCAGCTCGCCCACTGCTGCAGGTCGGCTGCTCTCCTCACACCCGACCACGAAGTCGGCTCCGCCCAAGCGAGGACGGGGCCAACACACAACTCCCATTGACACTCCCTGGGTCAGAGCTGACCAGTGACCATAGTGGCGGTGGTGAGCAGCAAGTTTCTGGTCGTGCTGGTGAGGAGGGGTTCGAGGATGAGTCGGCACGTGTGGACTCACCAACTCAGCCCGACCCTGCTGCAAACGCCGAGGTCACCAAGAGGAGTGTGCAGAGAGGAGCTTCACCACATGGGCAGCAGATTGCAACCCGCGAGAAGAGACTGGCAGCACCACCATCAAGGCTGAAGTATAGCCGTTTGGGAGGACCCAAGCAAGGTGCCATGGCGGTTCAGGTGGATGAGGGAGATGATGAGGAGATGGCGTTCTGTTTCTTCACACCTCTTCCTGGAGAACCAGCCACATTGGAGGAGGCACTGAGTGGACCCCAGAAGGAGGAGTGGAAGGCTGCCATGGATGCGGAGTTCAACAGTCTCATTGAGAATGGGACTTGGGAGCTTGTTGAGTTACCCGAGGGGCGACGGCCGATCTGCAGCAAGTGGGTCTTCAAGGTGAAGAGTGGTGCTGATGGTGCGCTGGAGCGGTTCAAGAGCCGCTTGGTCGCCAGGGGGTTTCTGCAGAAAGAGAAGGTTGACTTCAAGGAGATCTTCGCTCCCGTTGTTAAGCCAGTGACATTGAGGACTGTGCTGGCTGGCGCCGCTGTGAAGGGATGGCACAAGAAGCAGATGGATATCACCACTGCATTTCTGAATGGAATACTGTTGGAGGATATCTACATGGCGCAACCCGACGGCTATGAGGATGGGACCAGCCGAATGTGCAAGCTCAAGAAGGCTATCTATGGCCTTAAGCAAGCGCCTAGGTGCTGGTACGAGAAGCTGGAGGAGGTGCTGTTGGGTGGAGGCTTCAAGACGTCCCAAGCGTATCACAGCTTGTTCCTGCTTGGAGAGGGGGAGCAGCTGCTCCTGCTGCTGGTGTATGTCGACGACATACTGCTGTTCTCACCTTCCATGGAGCAGATTGAGAGGACAGAGAAGCTGTTGATGGACAACTTCAAGTGCAAGATGCTGGGGGATGTCCAATACTACTTGGGGCTGCAGATTGAGAGGGATGTTGAGAAGAGGTGGCTGAAGATGCATCAGTCACACTACATCTCTGGTGTCATGGAGCGCTATGGTGTGACTGAGGGTCGCACTGTGATGACACCGTTCCCTGCCGGCTTCAAGCTGAAGAAGGCAGCTGAGGAGGATGATGTGCTTGAGGATGAGCAGCAGAATGAGTACCAGTCAATCATTGGGAGTGTGATGTATGCTGCTGTGCATACGCGACCTGATGCTTCATTTGGAGTGGGGCAGCTGGCCAGAGTTGTGCAGCGGCCCACTGAGGAGCAGTTGGAGGTGGCAAAGCGCTTGGTGCGCTACCTCGGATCAACGGCATCTGCTGGTGTTCAGTTTTCAGCTAGCGGTCAGCTGAAACAGTTTGGAGCAGATTGGATCACGCCTGGAACCTTGAAGCTGTCGTGCTTCACCGACGCTACATGGGCCTCGGAGGAGGAGGATCAGTCATCAGTTGGCGGCTTTGTGTGCATGGTCGGAGGTGGACCAGTGAGCTGGAGGTCCAAGAAGCAGAGTGAGATTGCTCAGTCTTCCGGAGAGGCAGAGTACATGGCAATGTACCATGCCATCAAGGAGATCGTGCTTATAAGGAAGCTGCTGGAGGACATGGGAGCTGAACAGGAGGGACCTACACCACTTTTCTCCAACAGCAAGGCTGCTATTGGCATGGCCAATAATCCTATCCTGAATGGGCTGAACAAACACATGAAGATTAAGTGGCACTGGGTGAGGCAGATGGTGAAGGAGGGGATTGTTGTGCTTCACCATGTGAAGGCTAGCAAGCAGGCAGCAGATTTTCTCACCAAGAGACTTCCCGAGAGTGCACATTGGAAGTGTGCAAAGATGTGTGGCATGGTATTGCACTAGTGTGGGCAGCGGTGTCATGGGTGCATGCGTGTTTGTGTGCATGAGTGTTTCATGCTTGTGAGTGTGTATGCATGCAGTCCGTTAGTCTGAGGGGGAGTTTGTTGAATGCACGGCATTTTGAGTGCACGTCATCCTAACGTCCTGCCGAGTGCTCGTGCTATTCATGCGTGCATTGTTTGCATGAGCATATGTCATTGTGCATGGCTGTTGGATATTATCATCTCTGTGCTTTTCTCCAAGTTTAAATGCTTGATCATGCAGGAGAAATCCAGAGCTTTCCAACGATACCAATATCGCCTTATTCCGACCAAGATTTTCAAGACTTGGATTTCTTATTACCTTTTGGGGTTATATCTAATTTGGGTGATTATTGGGTCATGACTATAAAGGGATCTTTGGTTGGGTGGTTAGGGAAGGCAACTTTGACTTTTAGATTGGGGTGGCTAGAAGTTTCTAGCATGGGTTGCAAATGTTGCAACACCTAAGCAAAATCCAACTAGATTGGATTTTGCATGTGACACCTCAAGGACCTCATGATGAGGGTTGCATCCTTGCTGCTAGGAAGGTTCCTACCATCCTTCTCTAGCTATTGGAGAACCCCTTCCCTCATGGTTTTCTTGGAGTCCCCAACTCCAACTTTCTATGCCCTAATGCTTGTACTTCCTCTACCATTTCTAGTCATGCAGCTGCTGGACGTTTTCAAGTGGTTCTCACTCTCTAGACCATCTTTCTAAGTGATTCGAATTGGAGATGGTAGCTAAGCCTAAGGCGCATAATCCTACCGAGCGGATTTGCGTTTAGTTGAGAAATGAATTCGTCGTAAGTTCTCAAAGTGACGGTTCCTGAACAATATGACACGCCAACCTCTCCTGTGGATGGTGTGCCGGCGGCGGGACCGACCCTGGATCCTCTGGTTTCTTCCCCTTCTCCCAAACCTTCCTGCTCTGCTCCTGCCTGCCGTCCTTCCCCCCGCTCCTCAGCCCCATCTCCTCTCTTCCCCTCCATGCCATGAGTGCGCACTGCACGTCCTGTTCCACCTCCTCTCCCTCCTCGTCTCTGGCATACATCCCTGCCTCTTCCCCCCATCTCGGTCCCGTCGCTCGTAACTGCGCCTGCAGCTTGCCGATCTGCCGCTGCAACCCCTCCGGGCTTCTCCTGGCTCCTCCATCCCTCTGATAGCAGTCCTTGGCCTCGTGCCCCTTCTTCCCGCACACCTCACACTTGGCGGCATCAGGACACTCTCGCTTGCGGTGGCCCGGCTTCCCGCACCCATCACAGTTCTTGCAATCTCTGCGGAGATGCCCTGGCTGTCCACAGCGGTGGCAGCTCCTGGTCTCCGCCCGTGCCTCTCCTCGCTCCTCTGCCTTCCCTCGGTCCTCTGGTATCATTGCTGCCGCCCAGGTCGGCCTGCGGGCTCTCTCCAGCTTCCTCGGTAGATACGCCTCATATTTCCTCTGTGCGAGCTCCACCCTCTCAGCCAGCTCAAACACCCTCATCCGCAGCCCGCCTCCCAGTGCCTCGTCCAGGCCCCCCAGGAACTAACTGATCAAAAGGCTACTGTCCGTGCATCTCACATCCTCGGCTACGTTGATTAGCCGGTTGTAATACGCCAGCAGTGACTCTGTCCTTCCTCTCTTGAACTCCTGAAACTCCCTTATCCGCTCTGCCGTGTGCCCCGGGAACTGCCGCTGTAACCTCTCAAAGAACGCTTCAGTGGGGTCTTCCCCGTACTTCCCTGCCCTCCATAGCAGCTCCTCCATCCTCATACGGTACAGAGTCTCTGCTTCCCCATCCAAGGTGTTTGGCAGGCTCAGGAAGAAGTCTATGGGGTCCATGCCGTTCCGGTCACACCGATACTTCACATTCCCCACTTGCATCAGGTAGTTCTTGAGTGACGGCCCTGACCGCTGATCGCCCGAGAACCTGGCCGGCACCTCTACCCTTGTCGTCGTAGCCGCGCCCCCTCTTCCCTCTCCCCACGCCTCACTCACCCCTCCCAGCGGTCTCCCATACCCCCCCCCCTTTGCCTGGCTCGTTCCAGGCCCACTCTAACCACTCGTGCACGCTCGGCCCCTGCGCCAAGCTGCCGCTCCTGGCCCTGCTCTCCTGCTGCTCCCCGCGCGTCTCCCTTGACTGTCCCCACTGACTCCCCTCTCTTCCCGCCCGCTCCCATCGCCGAGCCGGCGAGTGGTGACTCCTCTCCCATCCCCTCGGGCCGGCTTCACGCAGTTGACGTCTCGCCGGGAGTGGCGACCACTCTTCCCTTCCCTTGCCCTGCTGCCGTGTGCCAGGTGGTGAGTGGCCCGCCTCCTCCCGTCTTCCTTCTCGCCAACGGCGCCGGTCGGGCGACCGCGACGCGCCACTGGGCCCTTCCCCCCACTGCTGTTGCCGGCGCGGTGAGCGTGATCCTTCCTTACGTCGCCCCTCCCCGTAGCGCTGCGGCTCCGGCGAGCGATACTCCCCGCCGCGTCCTCCCTCAGGTGGCCGCGGTCGAGCAGCCGAGCGAACCGCGTTCTCCTCTTCTCTTCCCCGCATCCCTTCCGCGCCAGCGTGCCGCTCAGTCCTCGGCGGCGGCTCCCTTGGCGAGCGCGAGCTTCCATCCCTCGGCTCCGCCCGCCGTCGCTGGTCTACCGTCATGCGTGCGTACTCCGCTTCGCTCCGTCTGCGCACTCCCCGTGGCTGCACCGTGCGCGCCTCCTCCTCACGAGTCTGGCCTTCCTGCCGCAGTACATCGCGGGCGCGATGCCCTCCCACGCGGCTGGAGCCGGTGGCGTGTGTCTCCTCCGCCCGTGCCCCCCCCTCTTCCTCTTCCGCTGCCGCCGCGGAGTCGGCGTGTTCCGCGCTGGGCGCGCGCTCCTCTCCCTCGGCCCCGCTCGGGATGTGGGGTTCCGCCCGCGTCTGCTCGTCGCCGTACTCCTGCTCGTCGGCGTGCTCCCGCCCATTGCCGTGCTCCTGTTCGTCGCCGTACGCCGGCTCGTCGCCGTACTCCTGCTCAGCCTCCACATTCCCCGCCTCCTCCTCGTCACTCTCCTCCCGCATTCGCTCGACCCGGGGATCCTCTTCGTCTCGACTGATGCCAGAGCTTTCTCCCCGCTCCCGCGGGAGTCCCTCCCTTCCACGCCAGCGACCTCGCTCATCACGTCGCCGCCCTCCCTCTTCTGGGGAGCGGAACACCCCTTCGTCGCGCGGATGGCGGTGCTCGTCTCCGCGCAGGTGAAACGTATTCCTCCGCCACGGCGCGCCGCTCGTCGACGCGTCGAGCCTGCCACCGTTCGCTACATCGTGCGCCGCGTCTCTCTCTCGGTGGGCCGGCACGACGAGAATCCTATCCGCACGGAAGGCCGGCCTTCGGGGCGATCGCTCTAGGGAACGCCCACGCTCCTGCGAGCGCTCATGCCGCGGCCCTTCCTCCTCGCGACGGGAGAAGACCCTGCCCCATCGCAGCTCATACTTATCCATACTACACGCCTAAACTTGTTTTATGAACGTGATCTCTCCCTCACCCCACTGGTTCCCTCCTGGTGGCGTACCACTGTGTGCTAAGAGCGTAGAGTGCTAACTTCCACTGATATGAGAGAATAACAGAAAACAAGCATCGAGTGGGTGAGCGAGATGGACCTTACCTAGCCCAACCTCAAGCTGCACATTTCCCAATGTGCGGCTCGAGGTTGGGATTTGGTTTCCCATTTCGCCCCTCGGTGCTTTCCCCCTCAAACCAACCGTCCCTTTTCAGTTCCCCCCTTCTTTGCCTATTGCAACAGTCCCTACACTACATTCTATCTCACATGCTAATATTGTTGTATATGCAGTAAGTGCATATACGGTTATCTCCTCTCCTCCCATCTACAACCTCATACTACTGTTATTGCATATGCATAAAGTGCATATGCGGTGACAACACGCCAGTTGGTCCAACCGGTCCGTTGGACCAACAGGCGAGTTGGTCCACCGGTCCATTGGACCAAAAGGCCAGTTGGTCCAACCCGTCCATTGGACCGACAGGCCAGTTGGTCCAACCGGTCCAGTGGACCAACAGGCCAAATGGTCCAAACGGTCCATTGGAGAAACGGGCCAGTTGGTCCAATGGGTCCAATGGACCAACAGGCCTGTTGGTCCAACCAGTCCATTAGGCCAACAGGCCAGTTGGTCCAAAAGGTCAAGTGGACCAACAGGCCAGTTGGTCCAACCTGTCCAGTGGACCAACACACCAGTCGGTCCACTAGACCAACAAGCTAGTTGGTCCACCTGTCCACTGGGCCAACACGCCAGTTGGTCCAACCGGTCCATTGGACCAACAGGCCAGTTGGTCCAACCGGTCCATTGGATTAACAGGCCAGTTGGTCCAACCGGTCCACAGGACCAACAGGCCAGTTGGTCCAACCGGTCCATTGGACCAACACGCCAGTTGGTCCAACAGGTCCACTGGACCAAAAAGCTATGTGGTCCAACCGGTCCAGTGGACCAACAGCCCAGTTGGTCCAACCTCTCCAGCGGACCAACACGCCAGTTCGTTCAACCGGCATTGGACCAACACGCCAATTGGTCCAACAGGTCCACTGGACCAACAAGCTAGTTGGTCCAACATGTCCAGCGGACCAACACGCCAGTTGGTCCAACCAGCATTGGACCAACACGCTAGTTTGTCCAACTGGTCCATTGGACCAACAGGCCAGTTGGTCCAATCGGTCCACTTGACCAACAGGCCAGTTGGTCCAACGGGTCCACTGGACCAACAGGCCTGTTGGTCCAACTGGTCTACTGGACCAACAGGCCAGTTGGTCCAACCGGTCCATTGGACCAACAGGCCAGTTGGTCCAACGGGCCCATTGGACCAACAGGCCAGTTGGTCCAACCGGTCCACTGGACCAACAGGCTAGTTGGTTCAAACGGTCCAGTGGACCAACAGGCTAGTTGGTCCAACCAGTCCATTGGACCAACAAGCCAGTTGGTCCAACCGGTCCATTGGACCAATGGGACAGTTGGTCCAACTGGTCCATTGGACCAACAAGCCAGTTGGTCCAACCGGTCTATTAGACCAAGAGGTTAGTTGGTCCAGCCGGTCCATTGGACCATCAGGCCAATTGGTCCAGCCGGTCCATTGGACCAACAGGCCAGTTCGTCCAGCTGGTCCATTGGACCATCAGGCCAGTTGGTCCAACCGCTCCACTGGACCAACATGCCAGTTGGTCCCACCGGTCCATTTGACCAACAGGCCAGTTGGTCCAACCGGTCCATTGGACCAACAAGCCAGTTGGTCCAACCGGTCCATTGGACCAACAGGCCAGTTGCTCCAACCGGTCCATTGAACCAACAGGCCAGTTGGTCCAACCAGTCCACTGGACCAACAGGTTAGTTGGTCCAACCGGTTTATTGGACCTACAAGCCAGTTGGTCCAATCGGTCCATTTGACCAACAGGTTAGTTGGTCTAGCCGGTCCATTAGACCATCAGGCCAGTTGGTCCAGCCGGTCCATTGGACCAACAGGCCAGTTCATCCAACCGGTCCATTGGACTAACAGGCCAATGCGTCCAGTCGGTCCATTGGACCAACACGCTACTTCGTCCAGCCGGTCCATTGGACCAACAGGCCAGTTGGTCCAACCGGTGCATTGGACCAACAGGCCAATTGGTCCAACGAGTTCATTGGACCAACAAGCCAGTTTGATTAAACCGGTCCATTAGATTAACAGGCCAGTTCGTCCAACCGGTCCATTTGACCAACTGGCCAGTTCGTGCAACCGGTCCATTGGACCAACATGTCAGTTGGTCCAACCGGCCCACAGGAACAACAAGCCAGTTGGTCCAACCGGTCCACTGGACCAACAGGCCAGTTGGTCAACCGGTCCATTGGACCAAGAGGCCAGTTGGTCCAGCCGATCCATTGGACCAACAGGCCAGTTGGTCCAACCGGTCCATTGGACCAACAGGCCAGTTGGTCCAACCGTTCCATTGGACCAACAGGCCAGTTCGTCCAACCGTTCCATTGGACCAACAGGCCAGTTCGTCCAACCGATCCATTGGACCAAATGGCCAGTTCGTCCAACCGGTCCTTTGGACCAACAGGCCAGTTCGTCCAACCAGTCCATTGGACCAACAGGCCAGTTGGTCCAACCGGTCCATAGGACCAACAGGCCAGATGGTACAATCGGTCCATTGGACCAACAGGCCAGTTGGTCCAACTTGTCCACTGGACCAACAGGCCAGTTGGTCCAACCGGTCCAGTAGACCAACAGGCCAGTTGGTCCAACCGGTCTACTGGACCACCAGGCCAGTTGGTCCAACTAGTCCATTGGACCATCAGGCTAGTTGGTCCAACCGGTCCAGTGGACCAACAGGCCAAATGGTCCAACCGGTCCATTGGACGAACGGGCCAGTTGGTCCAACCTGTCCAGCGGACCAACACGCCAGTTGGTCCAATCGGCATTGGACCGACACGCCAGTTTGTCCAACTGGTCCATTGGACCAACAGGCCAGTTGGTCCAATCGTTCCACTTGACCAACAGGCCAGTTGGTCCAACGGGTTTATTGGATCAACAGGCCAGTTGGTCCAACCGGTCGATTGGACCAACAGGTCAGTTGGTCCAACGGGCCCATTGGACCAACAGGCCAGTTGGTCCAACCGGTCCACGGGACCAATAGGCCAGTTGGTTGAAACGGTCCAGTGGACCAACAGGCTAGTTGGTCCAACCAGTCCATTGGACCAACAAGCTTGTTGGTCCATCCGGTCCATTGGACCAACAGGCCAGTTGGTCCAATCGTTCCACTTGACCAACAGGCCAGTTGGTCCAACGGGTTTATTGGATCAACAGGCCAGTTGGTCCAACCGGTCGATTGGACCAACAGGTCAGTTGGTCAAACGGGCCCATTGGACCAACAGGCCAGTTGGTCCAACCGGTCCACGGGACCAATAGGCCAGTTGGTTGAAACGGTCCAGTGGACCAACAGGCTAGTTGGTCCAACCAGTCCATTGGACCAACAAGCTTGTTGGTCCATCCGGTCCATTGGACCAACAGGCCAGTTGGTCCAACCGGTCCATTGGACCAATAGGCCAGTTGGTCCAAACGGTCCATTAGACCAACAGGTTAGTTGGTCCAGCCGGTCCATTGGACCATCAGGCCAGTTGGTCCAGCCGGTCTATTGGACCAACAGTCCAGTTCGTCTAACCGGTCCATTAGACCAACAGGCCAGTTCGTCCTGCCGATCCATTGGACCATCAGGCCAGTTGGTCCAACCGCTCCACTGGACCAACAGGCTAGTTGGTCCAACCGGTCCATTGGACCAACAGGCCAGTTGGTCCAACCGGTCCATTGGACCAACAGGCCAGTTGGTCCAACCAGTCCATTGGACCAACAGGCCAGTTGGTCCAACCGGTCCACTGGACCAACAAGCCAGTTGGTCCAACAGGTCCATTTGACCAACAGGCCAGTTGGTCCAAGCGGTCCATTGGACCAACAGGCCAGTTGGTCCAACCGGTCCACGGGACCAACACGCTAGTTGGTCCAACTGTTCTATTGGACCAACAGGCTAGTTGGTCCTACCAGTCCATTGGACCAACAGGCCAGTTGGTCCAATCGGTCCACTGGATCGACAGGCTAGTTGGTCCAACCGTTCCATCGGACCAACAGTCCAGTTGGTAAAACCGGACCACTAGACCAACAGGCCAGTTGGTCCAATTGGTCCATCGGACCAACACGCCAGTTGGTCCAACCGGTCCTTCGGACCAACAGGCCAGTTGGTCCAATCGGTCCACTGGACCAACAGGCCAGTTGGTACAACCGGTCCACTGGACCAAAAAGCCAGTTGGTCCAACCGGTCAATTGGACCAACAAGTTAGTTGGTCCAACCGGTCCATTGGACCACCAAGCCGGTTGGTCCAACCGGTCCATTGGACCAACAGGCCAGTTGGTCCAACCAGTCCAATGGACCAACATGCCAGTTGGCCCAACCGGTCCATTGGACCAACAGGTTAGTTGGTCCAGCCGGTCCATTGGACCATCAGGCCAGTTGGTGTAGCCGGTCCATTCGACCAACAGGCCAATTGGTCCAACCGGGCCATTGGACCAACAGGCGAGTTGGTCCAACCGGTCCATTGGACCATAAGGCTAGTTTGTCCAACCGGTCCATTGGACCAACAGGCCGGTCCGTCCACCCGGGCCATTGGACCAACAGGCCAGTTCGTCCAACCGCTCCATTGGACCAACAAGCTAGTTCGTCCAACCGGTCTATTGGACCAACAGTCCAGTTGGTCCAACCGGACCACTCGACCATCAGGCCAGTTGGTCCAACCAGTCCATTGGACCAACAGGCTAGTTGGTCCAACCGGTCCATTACACCAACAGGCCAGTTGGTCCAACTGGTCTACTGGACCAACAGGCCAGTTGGTCCAACATGTCCAACGGACCAACATGCCAGTTGGTCAAACAGGTCCATTTGACCAACAGGCCAGTTGGTCCAACCGGTCCATTGGACCAACCGGCCAGTTGGTCCAACCGGTCCACTGGACCAACAGGCCAGTTGGTCCTACCGGTCCATTCTACCAACAGGCCAGTTGGTCCAACTGGTCCATTGGACCAACAGGCCAAATGGTCCAACCGGTCCATTGGACCAACATGCCAGTTGGTCCAAAAGGTCCATTGGTCCAACACGCTAGTCGGTCCACTAGACCAACAGGCCAGTTGGTCCACCTGTCCACTGGGCCACCATGCCAGTTGGTCCAACCGGTCCACTGAGCCAACTAACCAGTTGGTCCAACCGGTCCACTGGACCAACAGGTCAGTTGGTTCAACGATTCCATTTGACCAACAGACCAGTTTGTCCAACTCGTCCACTGGACCAACAGGCCAGTTGGTTCAATCGGTCCAGTGGACCATTGGCCAGTTCGTTCAACCAGTCCACTGGACCAACAGGCCAGTTGGTCCAACCAGTCCACTGGACCAACAGGCCAGTTGGTCCAACCGGTCCATTTGACCAACAGGCCAGTTGCTCCAACCGGTCCATTGAACCAACAGGCCAGTTGGTCCAACCAGTCCACTGGACCAACAGGTTAGTTGGTCCAACCGG